CACCATTATCCTTATCAGAAGGGAGTGGGTCTTATTCAGGGTGAGTCAGACTAATAGTCTAGCCACTACAGATGGCCAATGTTAAGGAGAATAACCTCTGGCCTACTTTTGCTGCCTATTGTATGGTTACGCTTAAGCAGCTAAGTTTGGTACATATTTTGGGGAGACAACTTAAGAGAATTCCTTCTGTTCCCCACAGTGAAGCATCAACACTAAGTACTGCTAACAGTTCCCTATATTGTTATTCTGATATCATTGTCCCATGCCTTTTAATATCTGGCCACTTTGGGAGGAAGCATGCCTTTAATAATTGAGCAAAAAGTGAGAGATGAAATAGACTTCTCCTTGGCTTGTTTCTGTTCCCGCTTTGACAGAGCTGCCTCCAAAATGAGGCACGCTAGGTTCCAAGGACCTGCAGGAGAACAGAGGCAAAAACTCAGAATGCAGCAAGAGGCCAGGGAAATCTTGGTATAAAATTTGGGAAATGTATGGATGTGGAGAGAAAGAGAGGGTCGACATTAAGTCTCATTCTAGGTCCCGGTCTACTTCAAATAAGAGCCTGTCACAAGGCTTTCTCGGAAGGAAAACACGTTTGCGTGAGTATTTTGCCTCAGGGAGGACAGGGGAGGCAGCACTGGCAGCCGTGCAGCCTCCCAGTGGAGCTGCCCAAGTCCTGAGAGGACGTCTCATTTTCTGAGGCCTATGTATAGAAGGAAATCCCGAGAACTAATCTGAGAATAAAAGACATCAGAATTGCCCAGCTGTGTGTCTGTTGTCTCTAGATGGCCTCTCACTTTCTTGTGTTTAAAACGAATAAAAGGCTTTTTATCTTTCGATGAATATTAATTCTCTTGCGGAAGTATCAGCCCCCACACTTGGGTATTTTGTTCCTGTAGCTTCTCACTATTAACTTGGCATCAGGGGTTTGAGTTTGGAAACATCTGAGCACCGACAAATTGAAGCCCGTAGGGATCCACTGACATAAATGAAACAAATAAAGTTATTCTCATCAAGTCAATATTGACTCATAGTGACCCTATAGGACAGGAGAGAACTGTCCCTGTGGTTTTTGAACTTTGTAACTCTTTACAGGAGTAGAAAGCCCTTTCTTTCGCCAAAGGAAAATCTGTTGGCTTCAAACTGCTGATCTTGCAGTTAGCAGCCCAACTGTAACCACTGGGCCATAGGGCTGAGTGAAATAGTCAAGTATAAGTCTATCTGGATGTAGTGGCATAAATAGTCAAGTACTAGGTGTAGCTAGCTCTGCATTTAGCTGCCTGACAACACAGAAGGGCTGCTGGCATGAGGAATTCAGAACAGCTTCCCCCCACCCCCCACCCCCCTGCTGGATGAGACACAGTGACTTGTGAGAAAATAGAAGTCTTTCCTCAGTGTGGGGCTGCACAGAAGGAGATGGCCGTGATGAAAGGCTGACATTAGAAGCCAAAGGATGCTATATCTGAGCAAGGCTAAGTAGTATAAGGGCAATAGATACAATTTCCACCCTTAGCTTCTGTCCAGAAAGAGCAGTGATGAGCTGACTGGTGGATCATACAAGGCCATGGTGCCAGTGAGACGGCGAAGCAGTGGGGTCTGGTGGAAAGACTGCTTCTGATTCAGGCAGTCATTAGGACAAACCTCAATTCTACTAGTCAACTGGGTGAGCTGGAGACAAATTACTTAATCTTTCATGGCCTCAGATTCCATATCTGTTGAATAGAAAAAGTCATAACATTCTGAGTTATTGTGAGAGTTAAATTTAAAAGGACAAAACAGTCAAGTGTTTCATGTGGTGATGAGGACACAGTGGATGCTTAAGGAGTTGATCCTGAAGGTTGATGATGCTGAAGGTGATGCTGAAGGTTGTTACTGGAGTGACCTTTAAAGAGAACATCCACAGCTGTCCAAATAAGATACTGACACTAATGCACATTTTACTGTGTCTACCTATAAGATGCTCCATATTGAATTTCCAGTGTCCCCTTTAAGAGAGATTTAATAGATTTACACAGATTGAAAAGCATTTAATTTAACTAGTAATCATACTCATGAATTTTCATCCAGGATATTTTGCATTGCCTGAGAAAATCAGGGGAAAGCCTATTGAAAAATTGTGAGTCCGATTTTAAGTGCATCCATATTAATTAGTCAGTATAGTGCATGTGTGCGATCATGAAGTTCAAACGCAATCTCTGCATTCTTTCATCTCCTCGTTCTGTCAGTGTGATGGAAAATGCCACTTCATCCCTGGACATCTGTCTCATAATTCCCTTAGATTGAGAGGGCTTTTAACTAGGCTTTAAACAATTATTCCTCAATAAAACTCTTATTTCACTTGACTAAGTTAAAGCATAGATGTTAATTTTCCTCTTCACGATCAAAATAACTAATAATCATTATTTGTTAATAGTCTTCCCAGATGATTATCTTACCTGCTTATTAATATATTTTCTGTTCCAAACAAAAAAATCTTCAAAAGAGATACATCATGTAATGTAGGAAAATAAACTATTAAAATAAAAGTTGTGAAGATCAGAGAAAAAATTAGAGTAGAGATCAGTCAATTGCATTTCTAAATTGTTGGACCTGTCAAAATGATAATTTTAATAACATCTAAAAGTGCCATTAATTCTCTTCTACAGAACTTGACATTATTAAGGTTATGTGCTAGGGTCAAGGAGACAATTATTGTGTTTGTAACAATGTTAAGCAAGACTGTTTTTTGAAAACCCCCAAATGCCTTCACTTAAAGAAGCTGTGACCACCTAAGGAACCACAATGAAAGCAAACGATATGCCGCTTCCTGGCAGTCAGCTCAAAATAATAGAACAAGTTAGGACAACCATTTTACAACAACTTCAATTCAAATTATTTCTTCAAATAATATCTTAGTAACATATCTTTATGCATTGAATTGTGGTCCCCAATATGTATTATGGATCCTAACAGCTGTATTTGTGGCTTTAAATAGATTTTCTTTGTTATATTAATGAAATCAAATCAGTGTAAGTTGTGGTTTAAGGCGATCACTAATCACCTATGAGATATAAAAAGCAGATTAGGCACAGGAGAGGTGAGAACAAACAGAGAAAGGTTCATGCTATTTAGAGATCGCCAAGGAATGAAGGAAGGGAAGCCGAGAGGGACAGTGATTCTTTGTTCCCAGAGAAGGCCTTAAATTAGCACTTTCTAGCCTGTTAAGCTGTGAGAAAACAAAATTCTGTTTTTTAAAGCCACTCATTTGTGGTACTTCTGTTACAGTAGAATTGGATATCTAAAACAAAATTAGAAATAAAAACATTTGTAAGATTAAAACCACAAAAAGTTTCAAAAATCTTATTTCCTAAATCATGCATATATTTTCCTTTCAAATATGCCTTAGGGAATTATTGCTCAAACTTTGATAGCCTTTGTTTTATAGATATACTTACTTATGTGTCACCTATATACATAAGGTTATTCAATGCAGCAATGTCTATATTAGCAAAAAAACTGAAAATGACCCAAATATTCATCAATGGGTTAACTTGTTAAATATGTTGTGGTAATCCAGTTATGCACTGCCTGTTTAAAAAATATATACTTATGCACACACGCACACACACACCTATTGGCTTACTTCTGCATGCACTCACACATTCATATACACACATACATACAAAATATTGATTATATGCAGCCAGGAGTACAACTGGGTGAATAAGGGGTGTAAGTTATAGCTGTGGACATTATTACATTTTGATTTTGGAACCAAGCAAATGTTTTACAGATTTTAAAAATTAAATTTAAAAATACACTTTTACAAAATCATCTTGCACAAGTCTTGGTTTCCTTTAACAGTGTTTAGAAAAGATAATGTTTTCTCTACAAACTGAACATAATCAGCTCAGTTAAGTTCAAAGAATGATATATGAAATCAATTTTGAAAGATCGTTTAGTTCAGAAGGATGATATAGAAACTTAAATGAGATATTTGTTTTTAAAATAATTGAAAGTGATAATTATAAAATCGATTTGGATTGCTGTATCTTTGAAACATCTACCAACCCATGTTAAAGGATTTCTCTGATCCCAATGCTGAGGAGGCTGAGGCTAGCTGTGTCTCCCGGACTACAAATTTTTTAATGTTGAACTTGCTCCTTATAATCACTTGTGAAGCATCGGTTTGAAAACAGAGTAATACAAACAGAATGCCCATAAGCCCTTGCTAACGTTCCCAGCCTTTGTTGAAGGCATGTTTGTTGAGAGTGACATTTAAGAAACACATCGCGTATGAGTAAAAGGAAGCAATACAACATTTGCGGTGTTTGTGAAAAAGAATACTGTTACGCCTGTATTTTATTATAAATTACCAGGTTCTGTCATATTGTATCTTCTTGCCAGCAAATGAAGGACATTGTTTCATAAAGCTTCTAAAATGTACATGAATATTTAATTAAATCATATTTCCTTGAGAAAATAAAGTTCATTCGCATTTATAGCAGACAGTTGTGAGGAGTGCATAATTGTCATAAGACCAGGGTAGCCAGTACCGGTTGCTTGTAGAACAAAACTCCTCAATTTTTAAAACATTTTTTTAAAAAATAAACATACAATCATAGGTGTTCATTTACTTTAAAAATTCTAAAGATGAAGAAAATTATCGTCTATATATTTAAGTCCTTGTATAAATTACAAAACTCAAGTGTATGTTACAGAGTCCCTTCCCCGTAGGAAGCATAAAGCACTTTTGTGGTACCTTTCCCCAGTAAATATTTGTATCACATTAAATTTGACAAACAAAATAAAAGTCGATATTGCCTCTTTAAGTCCCAAGAAAACATTCTTCTAAGTCAGCTCTCCTGATGAATGAGCTTCAAAAGTCATTTGATTGCCATGGTTTAAACCAATCTTGAATAAAGTTATAAAAAAAGTTAACACACATATTGACTTCAGTAGAAATCTGAAATATCAGTGAACTGCAGACTCTTCTTGCTTGAGGTCAACAAACACCCTTTGGAAGACAACCAAGAGTAGTTTCAGACCGCGACAACACAAATAAAATAACAACAATAATAACAATAACAATAATAATAATAATAAAATAAAAATAACAACAACCAACAATGAGGTAAACTTCCCCTTTCAAAAGGCAATACGTGTTGCCTGGACTGTCAGGAGAGAGTTCGATTGTACCTGACACCCAAATGTTTTTCTAACCAGAGTTCAGCCAGTTGCATGGTCGAGGCAAAAGTACTTGCCTTGGACCCTAAGCACATCTTATACTGCTTAGGGTCCAAGTTAGGATCACAATGAACTGGGTGGAAAATATGCACCACTCCTACATCTTGACTTCGGAAGGGCCTTAAGCCAGATGAAATAACTTTGTTGTAGAGATCTACATCTTCCAGTCCCCAGCCTTGTATTGAGGTATCAAATCCACCCGTGCCCAGAAGATCACTTTTATAAATACAGGTGATTCCATATCCGTAGTCTCTCCAGAATCCTGTCGTCTCTGAGAAAACGAAATCATCATCAATGGGAGGCTTGCCCCTATTGGTTACCTTTGGGTCATACTGGCTAAAGATGATGGGGTAGTACACCTGTTGTCCCTGAATTGTGTTGTCTCTACACCGTTGGAGAAAATCTCCTCTGAAGATCAAGTCAACATCACAAAATAGCAGCAAGGTGTCATTGTCAAACTGGGCAGAGGCCATTTCAAGACCAAGACCCCTGGAAAACGCTCCCTTAACGGGGATCAAGGTCATTTCTGCATTAGGGTACTTGTTCTGATATCCCTTTACCAGGTCACTATGATTGCTAGAATCGTGGCCAGAATCTTGACTGAAAAGGATGATGACCAGCTTGACATTTTGCTTTGGGATAAGGCAAATTGTTTCAAAGTTCTCCATGAATCTCAAGAAAATGTCATACCTTCCTACGAGAGGCACCAGAATGTGTATTTTCTTTTCATCGTGCCCAACCACCCCTTTGGCACCTTGAAAAGAGGAGAGCATCTTTAACGAATTCGATATAAAGGAGAAGGACTGAGTTTCACTGTTAATGCTCTCCACCAGGCTGTTGACGTCGAACTCGCCCATTTCTCGGAAGAAAGGCTTGCTGAACAGCTGCTGAAGGTACGCGTGGCGTCTCACTGGCACAGTCAGTTTTCTGCCCTTGTGTCTTTTGTATAAGAGGAGTAAATCTAAAATATATTCCACCCCATGCATGGGATCCACCCTGCGGTAGCCATACTGAATTTCCTTGAAATCAATGAGTCGGCCTCTACTCTTGGCATTCTCATTGATCATCTCCATCACCTGTAGCACGGTGTCATCCAGAGCTGTTCTTAGGATGCTGTTGATATTCTGTCGAGGTGGCTGATTCTCAGCTGCTGAGTAAAGGAGCTTCCCTGTCAGAAACTCCCATTCGATCACTTCATCTCTGTCCCGAGGCTGGAAGTGGTTAAAGGAAGGCATCACTCCCAGCTGCTGGTCCTCTTTGCTCGCTTCACTGTTACTGAGCTTGCTCATCAGCACGCTTTCCCGGTGGAGCTGGATGGTACGGTAGCGAAGCTCAGAAATCTTGCGGCTGAGCATGTAATTATGCAGCCTGTACTGGTATGCAGGCCTTTTGTTAGGATGAAGGGTGATGGCTGCATGGATTTTGCTGTTGTGAAGGTCTTGGATATAACCCTTTCGATTGTGTTCATAATTTTCATGAAAGAGTTGCTGCATCTGGAAAGAAGAAAGAGGGTTAGGATGATTTTTTTAAAGCAATAAACTTTCAATATTTAAATTAAACTGTTGAATAAAATATGTATATGATATTTAATAACTGGAATCACTAGAGAAATTTATATTTAAATTAAATTAAAATACTTCCAAATGTCAAATTTCAATGCTCACATACTGCATTCTGAACTTTAAGCTATAGATTTTAAAATTATGAAGCTATGACCTTCTATTCACTCAGAGATCAATCCTAAATACTAAAGAAAACAAAAATTGAATATATCCATAACTCCCATAATCAAACATTGAGGGGAGTGACGTGGAAGAGAGACCTGCCTCTGTTAATATTGGCAGAGCATGCATTTTCCAAAACAGGTGGTACACCATGAGAGGTAAAACTAATAACTTGTTGCCTGAATGGCAGCATCACATTATTTGCTAGATAACATTTACTCCATCGAATGTTAGGGAGTATCTTGACAGGGGTCCTTAGGCTATGGATTGATTTGCTAACCAGAAGATCAGACGTTTGAACCCACTAGTCACTCCACAGGAGAAGGGTGAGGCCATCTGCTCCCATCGGATTTGGAAGCCCTGGAAACCCCAAGAAGCAGTTCTGACTGTCCTATAGAGTCAACCTGAGTCAGAATGGACTAAAAACCAGTGAGTATCCTGAGAGGTAGGATCTTGGCAAGACTACTACCTATAAAGATGAGGAACTATACGGACCTAATCTACTGATCTAAAGTATCATACACAAAATATGACCTATTCAACAAACATAAGAGTTAGAAAGGCTTTCTTTTAGTAGCACATAGTCATTACCTCAGGCAGAAACAAATGAGGGAATATTCTGAGATACTAAACTAAAATTTAAGCTGGTCTCCCCTAGTCTCCCCATTCTATAATGTAGACAGTCAATGAAGAAATCTCTATCAAATCCATTCAAGATAAATGCAATCAATGAGAATAGGTAAGAAGAGGTGAGGAAGGGAGAGAGAAGGAGCAAGAAGAGGGGGAAGAAGCAATGACACTCTGCGAAGACACTGAAGAATGAGGAGGAAGGGCGTATTCCAAACTAAAGAGTAGATGCCAGAAATACAAAATGGATGGTCGAAAACGCAAACTTCCACCTAACTTACAATTGAAAAAAAAAGGGAACCTATAGCAGTAAGACACCAAAATTATAGAGAAATCAATGAAACGGAGGACAGCCTCCTAGAAGAAGGAAATCCAGAATTAAACAGAAAGTTTAAGGTAAAAATTGAAACAGAGTTAAGTAAAGAAATAGAAGGGGAAAAAAGAAATGAAAACCATCTCAGAAGTAGTAAAAACCAGATTTTTAGAAAGTATGGGAAGAAGAGACGAGAAAATTTAGAAAAATAATAAAAATATAAAAGGCAGGTTAAAATGTTAGCAGGTTCTACCTATTTAGATATCTATATATCTCTACATACATTTATACATCTAGAGCTAGTATATTTGGATATATATTAAAGGGAATATAAAAGATGGTTATAAAAAATGTTTGAGGAAGCATATTGAGTAGCCACAAAAGGGAAAATTCACAAGTTTCAAAGAATATGCCCTCAAAATAAAGCAAGGTTAATTAAACACAAACACACATATATAATTAGGTTAGGATATAAATCAATCAATCAATCATACAATACTATTTAGCTAGAAGTAAAGAAGGGAGCTTTTTCCTCTTATTGGATTGTCTATAGCAACACCCAATACTGAAAAATAGTGGCACGATGCCCAGGAAAACTGTTGGGAAGAAAATAAGAGACACATAGATCAATAAAGCTGTTTAAAAAAATTATACCAGAACACTATTAAATAAATTAGTAAAAATCCATATACTTAAAATTTTAACGAATTGAAATGAGATAATATTGTTAACCTACAGAAAAGGAACAAAATAGGGGCTCCATAAACAAACCTAAACAAGACTTAGAATTGATCAATTGACTTCTACAGGACAGGCCCATGTAAAAAACAGGCAAATAACACGATTGGGCGGGTTTCAAATTCAAGTGTTCAGTGAGTGCATAAAAAAGAAGCTCCATCTCATTAATTCTGATGGTAGTGCAAATTAAAATCATAATGTGATAACATTATACTCACACAGCTATGAGAATGGCTAAAACTACACCTAATGACAATATTATCTATTGACAGGCTGGTAGATGATTTGGAACCTACAGACACTGCTGGGAAAGTGTGATTTGGTATATTAATTGTGGGAAATTGCCAGCATCAACTAAAATGAACAGATATATTTCCTGTGACTCAATAATTCCACTCCAATTAAATAGAAATAAATATAAGCACATAACAAAAAACACATTCAAGGATTGTAATAGCAGCATTAATCATAATACCAAAATACTGAAATAAACTCAAGTGTCCATTTGTGTCTACTCTGGAAAAATAAATGTGAAAGTCATACAAAAGGTCCCTGATGGTATTGTCCATTAGACATTGGGCTGCTCACTACAAAGAAGTGGGTGAAATTCACCAGGCATTTCACAGGAGAAAGAGGGAGCTATCTGCGCCAGTAAAAAATAGCAGTCTTGGATTAAGAACAATATGTGGATGTAAATGAGTGAGATAACACTACTTACAACAGTGTGCAGATAAATTCAACAAACACAATGTCAAGTTAAATGAATCATATGCACAATCACGCATTCTGTATGACCATGTTTGTGTGAGTTGAAGAAACACAGATAGCTGCTAGAATAGGCACCAGATATGCAAGTGGGGGAAGGGCCTCTGGGGGGCTTATAATGATCTGGTTTTGCATCCAGGTGGTGGGCAAATGTGTCCATTTGTTAACCTATCAGAATGGCACAGGAAAAAACAAGGGATCCATAAACATTCATTATCCCTGCGAACATCACTGAATTCAAAATACATGTATTAATTTAGAATCCTGAAATGAAATTATAATTTGGAACTGGTAATGTGTATAATACTTTTGTCTTTTATACTCTAGTTCACTAAAAATAAACTTTATTTTAAAATACATCAATACATAGAAGTAAAATTGGATAGGCTTTTCTGATGTGTACATGAATGGGTGTTTACAATGAAACAGAGCGACAGAGAAAGGGGGAGAGAGAGCTATCAGAGACATGTTCCTTGAGAAAGTGATCTAAAAGAAAGTGAGACTACAATCAAGACATATTTTAAACCTCAGTCTTTCACCTGGATCCTTTTCTATACTCACATGTTCAAATCAATATCATTTGACTTTGAAAACTAGAGTAGCACATAGTTCAAGATCGATTTTGGATTTCATTCAAGATGAGCAGTTCAGTTGCATCATTTTTTTTCCTGAAAATTTTGTATCCATTTTTATTATGAAACTTTTACCAATGTTATATGAAATCAAGCTCATAAAGTACAGTGGGCTCTTATATATTTATTTTGTAGTTTTATTTTCTACCTGACATTGCTTCAAACAGCTACGTCATTTCATTTTCCATGAATTAATTTTTATATGGAAGTATATTTTAAAAACCTGATTGTATACACACCAACAATTGTAACAATTCTAAAATCTATTAGGCATTGGAACTGTTATTTAAAGGGGTACCAGCAGTCAGCATGGACTTGATGGCAGTGAGTTTTAGGGTTTCCATTACTCAGGAAAAGGAACGCGCTAAATCAACGAGGACACAATTTCAGAGTCCAATGAACAATGGGAGGCTTAGTCAGCTCCCTTGGTGATACTGAAGTGAACTGCACTGCATAAGGGTGACGTTTTTGTTATAGAACCAATAACATCTTAGCATTGATATGCTTAACTAATGCCCATCAACTCAGGCGGCCTAGATTGGGCTCATCTCTTTGCAGAAGAATCAAAGGTAGAAAAACGACGGAGATGGGGTCAACCGTTACACACAGTCCATTGACACAAAGTAGAGCAATGAGGAGAACATTTAGAAGTTGGTATATTGTCCATTAAAAACAGAACAAACTCAAGTTTTCTACTTTTAAATACAAGTCGGACCAAATCACAAAGGGTAGACATTGCACTGCTTCAGAACTAGGTTATGGGGCCAACCAAATCTTGATGTGCATACTGGCACGACCATTTATAAGGTATTTTCTAGTCTCTCAGTATAAATTAGCTTTAAAACGGGAAAATATGTACCATCTTAAAGTATTTTAAAATTTTATTGGATTATAAAGTAAACCCAAAATATTGAACATCATGCTTGGGATGGTTAGGTTTGGTGCCAGCTTAGGATAGCTGTGGGATGTGGGCAAAGCTTAATGATGTCTCTTTCGGTCTGGAACTGGTGTGGAAGTGACACTGGTGGGGACTGGCCACTGTTTCTTGCCCTTCTCCATCCTGCTTCCTTGGATCCTGACTTTTGGTTCCTGCCTGCCTTAGATCTACGTGACTCTGCACCCACTGGCCTGTAATCTCCCAGTCTTCCATTTTGCCTTCCTGCTTCATAAACTGGCATCTGTGAAGGCCAGGAGAGGCCTCCAGTGAGCACCTTGAATTAGAACGGGTGGCTTCTTTGATAAAACTTTCTATTTTCATTTCAAGTTCTTTCTCAAAAATACTTTAGTCTCACGGTTGTTTGTTTGTTTTAACTCTAGAAAACTCAGAAACCCTGGTGGTGGTGCTGCAACCCAATATTTATCTTGCAGTGCCCCCTGACTTCTCAATCAACGGTGGTGTGATCGCTGTAGGCACCGTCAAGTGTGTTCTGACTTCTGGCAACCCTGTGTTGAACAGAAGACAACACATCTCAGTGCTATGCCATCCTCACAGTGGTTCTTCTGCATGAGCCTTTTGTTGTAGTCACTGTTCATCCATCTTGCCCAGGGTCTCCCTCCTTTTCTCTGCCCCTCCCTCCACTTAACCAAGCATGATGTCCTTGTCCAGGGACTAGTCTTCTCCTGACAAACGCCCAAAGTACTCTTCAGGCAAAGTCTCACCATCCTTGCCTCTAAGGAGCATTCTATCTGTACTT